GTCAAACTATTATATATAAATAAATTGATGCAAGAATCGCATGCTCATTAAGAGATGTATCTATCTATATATATATATATATATAAAAAGAATTACTATTTACTAAATATAGTAGCAAAAAAGTCAATGAGCATTTAATGCATACTTTATTTGGAAACTTTTAAATATATGCATTAATTGCTTTGATATATACACATTTCCAAATCATATATGATCAAAAAGATTCTTTCCTTGAATAATTTTATTATCATATGCAATATTTTAATTGATATTCATTATAATATACTATAATTTGATTTTTCATAATTGGTGTTGATAATATTTTTGTCAACAGAACCATGAAAACAAATTTTAAGTCTTAACCATAATATTAATTTTTTTTTCCAAAAATGTTGACTTACATCCTAAAATATTTATAAACAATCGTAACATGTTAAATAATTCTCCCTTTAACTAATTAGCCGAAATCCAGTTGGTGAATAATAATTTTCGATAATATTTTTTAACCTTTATTTAATTATATAAACAAATAATTTCTTTAAACTAAAATAATTTACATTTAAGAGATAATGATCACATCATTAAATAATTTATTAACAGCTAAATAATAAAATTATAATATATTAACTATTCTTTACAGTTTCAATATTTGATGTATTTGTATATTATTGTCAACCACGATAATTTTATCACTTTTTATTTTTATTTGTTTCCATAATGAATTTATTGTAAAATATATATTTATATTGCATAGTATGTTAAAAAAAATTAATAAAACCTTAGGATGCAAATTAGAAAAATCTCTTGATTATATAAGGGTTTATTATTTGACAATTTGCTAAATCAATTTTTTTAATTATTATGAGAAATTTTAAAAAACATGTGTGTGTATTTTATAAACATTTATACACAAAGTTTTATTTTAAACTTTATTACATAAACTAAGAAGAAGTAGACAACTATTATAACCTTTATAAATAATAATAATGACATTATATGACAACAAATATTATAATAAAATATTAATTGAGTATTAAATGGTGAACAAAAATAAGAATAATTTTTTTTTATATCGACGAATAAATATATATTGTAAAATTAAATTTATATTAGTATAACGTGTAAGCAGAACGATAAATTAATTAATATATCAACGATATGACTAAAATAAATATCACTGATTGAAAGAAGTGGAAAACTGATGATGCAACCCTATTATTTTTTGTCAAAATGTACAAGCCCTATAGAAATGACTCAATTAATATATGTGTCCCGTGCATCGCACGGGCTATGCACTAGTTTAAAACAAACCATTTGTGGTATAAATATATATATTGAGGCAAGAATCACGTGTTCATTACGAAATGTGTTTGGTGTTTACTTTCATTAATTGGTGTTACAGATAGAAAGTGGAAGGGTACAAATTTGGCGTTTGTTGACTTTCTTATAATTTCGATATGCTATTAGATCACCGTCACTACTGCACAATAAAAGAAAGTGGTGGAATATAATCCAGAGGATCACAAACCTGAGGAGCAACAAAGGAAGGTTAATTCTGAAGTGGTAAAGCATGATGAATCTGAAATGAGGAAATATTTGTTCAAACTTCTTGTTCTTTTATTTTTTATTTTTTATTTTTTTATTTTTTATTTTTATTTTTTTAAACTTTGTAATTCATGCATCTGTTGATATCAATGAGAATATTGATATTATTCAAAATATTTCAAGTCACCTCAGTGGCAGGTCAAAACAAGGTGTCAACAAAAATCTAGTATGACTAAAACCTTCAGGCTGCCTGATCGACTCCAACAGAGGGTTGGTCAAACAAAAATTCAGCATGACTAAGGCCTTCGAGTTGGTTGGTCGACCTTAGTGGAGGGTCGATTGAAGACAAAAATCTAGCATGACTAAGGCCTTCGGGTTGGCTGGTCGATCCCAGCGGAGGGTTGGTCGAAGACACAATTCTAGCATGACTATGGCCTTCAGGCTGGCTGGTCGACCCCATCAGAGGGTTAGTCGAAGACACAAATCTAGCATGACTAAGACTTTTGGGTTGGCTGGTCGACCCAGTGGAGGGTTGGTCGAAGACAAAAATCCAGTATGAATTAGGCCTTCGGGCTGGAATGGTCGACCTCAGCAGAGGGTTGGTCGAAGACACAAATCCAACATGACTAATGCCTTCGGGCGGGCTTGTCGACCCCAGTGGAGGGTTAGTGGAAGATAAAAATCTAGCATGACTAAGGACTTCCGGCTGGCTGGCCGACCCCAGCGAAGGTTGGTCGAAGACACAAATCCAATATGATTAAGACGTTCGGGCTGGCTGGTCGACTTAAGTGAAGGGTGTAACGCCCCAACTTTCAAAAGGCTAAATATGAGATTTTAAAGGGCGTTAACGAATTTTGAATAACATTTGAACCAAAATCTCGCCTTTAAACTTTAAGAACGCTACTGTTCTCTTTCTAAAAACATAGCATAAATTAAACTTCGAGACCTCAAAACAGCAACTTCATCATAATCATAATACTCAGTAAAACTCATGAATGCCATAACATAGCTATAATCGAATAGGAACTTAAGTACGATCAATCCAAAGGTCAAAGTCATAAGAGTACGATAAAGCAACAACCAATGAGTTCTAATTAAACCATACTCATAACCCAAATGCAAACAACTTTTTAAACATTANAAAAAAAAAAAAAAAAAAAAAACCAATTTAATTTCAAAGTGACCACCACACCATCCTTAAATCCTGACACCAACTCCTCAACCTGAAGTTATTAAATAATGGGTGAGTACGGAACGGCTCAGTGGGAAAAAATACTGCGCAATTATTCAAGCTAATAACAAATATCACAATTACCATATGCATGTAGTAACTTGCGTGAAGGCCATAAATGTCATTCTAGAACATAAATGTGCAGCCGCATGACCTGAGAGTGTTATGCCGCCACGCGACCTAAGGGCACTCACGTGCCGTTGCGCGATCAGAGGGCATTATGCCGCTGTGCGACCTGAGGGCACTCGTACTTTGGCCTGTCGGCCCATGAATAATTTTTCAGAAGGCCTGATCATATAACACATCACAACCATCATACCATGCGATTAACAGGAATAAACACGTAGTAAAATAATCCCCACCTCATTTGGACTATTGAATAATTGAACGGTCAAATGAATGCCTCAAGAACTTGACTTCTCGATATCTACATGATAAAATTATTTGACATAAATACAACATTATACTCATAGCATAATATAATTTCTAAAATTTAATTTAATTAGGTTTAAATTCGAGGGTCTGCTGAAGGTTTTGGAAAAAGGCTATCGGCTCGGTTGAAAATTAATATTAGGCTCGGAACTTAGGCGTTTCTCCCAGTGATTTGGCTAAGGGCTGAAATTGGAAAGGGGCTCACCGAGGGTCTACGGGCTGGGGTAGGTTTGGCTCTGGCCGACATGCATGGGTTGTGGTTTTGGTCGAGCCGGTACAATTCAGAATTATAAATTACACTTTAGAAATAATATCATTTGCAATGATAATACTATTTAAGGTTAGAATAATATATTAATAAAATTAATATTTGATGGTCGAGTATAATTCAGAATTAGAAATTACACCTTAGAAATATCTATGTACATTAAAATATTATTCAAGTTATGAAAAAAAATATAATATTTATTATATACTATTTTGTAAATGAAATAAGTAAATATAATAGTAAATTATCATAATTAAAATTATAGCACTTGATAATCATGGAGATATATAACATATCTGAATATTCAAATGGATACTAATTAATTCATTATATAGGTTGAGGAAAATGAATTAAAGAAAAAAAATATAAATAAACAGTATAAAAATAAAATATATTATAGTTACTAAAAGTTTATAATTTATTATCAAACATTTTAACATTTCATACGTTTAGAATTATATAAAGTAAGATAAATATTATGGAATAAACGTTGGTCAACTTCGATCAATGTGCATCATGAATTGTTAAAAAAGTTATAATACTAGGATAATTGATAATTTTACAAGTACATGTAAGTAATTTGCATGCAAATATCATATGATCTTATACTTTTACAATATTTTATAAACTTATAAATAATAAAATTTTTATACTACATAGTCAAGACCCACCCAAAAAAATTGAAAAATAGAAAAAAATAATAATTCTAAATTAATAAAATATTATTAATGAATTGAATATTGTGTTGAATAGAATTGCATATTGTCTTAAATAATGTAATAATATTTAAATAATAAAATATTCTTTTATAGGATCTGAGATGTTAAAGTATCTACTTTCCTAATTTACCACGTCTGTAGGATTTGAGACTCTTTAGGAAGATACACTTTCTATCCAAAAAGGATTTTGTCCCTTGCTTACCACACGACTCTTAGGTCCTGGAGTCGTAACTACGATCCTACTACCTATCTGTCATGAGTTGTGCCTATATCGTAACCACAATCTCCACCTATAAGACCTACGAGTCATGAGGTCACCTCGAGTATCCGATCTCCTGAAGTTCTCCTACCTCCTAGCTCTCTGACCAAACTGACATGTACCTTGAGTTGCGTAAGCGAGCTCCTTGATGAGGTAGCATACTGAGAACGAGCTTAGCTCCCTAGAACCTGTCATACCCAAGCTAACCACTCAAGTCAATTCCTCGAGCTATTCCTGGTGTCATATCAATATGAATATACATTTTTTAGTCATGTCATTAAATCTCATGATATAAACTTCTTATAAATATATATAAATTAAATGTAAACTTAAAGAATAAATAGTGCGTAAATTTACAATAAAAGCGTATACTTTATATGAAATTAATTTTTTTTAAAGGTTAATAACTATGAAAAATGTTTTGAAAATTGTATATTAAATATGTAAATTAGAAAATAAAAAATAAAAAATTGGGGCCTATAGATTGGACTATAGTTACGGAAGCCCAAACATTCTTTTTCTCTATTAACGGGTCACGGGCCTGAGCAGCCTTCTTTTTCTTTATATTTTTTAAGAAAGAAAAAAGTAAGAGAGCGAAGGAGAAAGTGGAAGTCCCATATCCTCCTCCTCGCTCGCTCTAGCACAAATTTACAGTTTCCGAAACATTGCGTATGTCAGAGTTGTTGGCTCTGCATCTGTAATACTGGAAGTATGCTT